ATAAATGGGTGTTGAATTTTGTCAAAAGCTTTTTCTGCATCTATTGAGATTATCATATGGTTTTTATCCTTCATTTTGTTAATATGGTGTATCACATTGATTGATTTGCATATATTGAAGTATCCTTGCATTCCTGGGATAAACCCCACTTCATCATGGTGTATGATCCTTTTAATGTGTTGCTGGATTCTGTTTGCTAGTATTTTGTTGACGATTTTTGCATCTATGTTTATCAGTGACATTGACCTGTAGTTTTCTTTTTTTGTAACATCTTTGTCTGGTTGTGGTATCAGGGTGATGGTGGCCTCATAGAATGAGTTTGGGAGTGTCCCTCCCTCTGCTATATTTTGGAAGAGTTTGAGAAGGATAGGTGTTAGCTCTTCTCTAAATGTTTGATAGAATTCACCTGTGAATCCATCTGGTCCTGGTCTTTTGTTTGTTGGAAGATTTTTAATCACAGTTTCAATTTCAGTGGTTATGATTGGCCTGTTTATATTTTCTCTTTCTTCCTGGCTCAGTCTCAGAGTTGTGCTTTTCTAAGAATTTGTCCATTTCTTCCAGGTTTTCCATTTTATTGGCATATAGTTGCTTGTAGTAATCTGTCATGATCCTTTGCATTTCTGCAGTGTCAGTTGTTAGTCCTCCTTTTTCATTTCTAATTCTGTGGATTTGAGTCTTCTCCCTTTTTTTCTTGATGAGTCTGGCTAATGGTTTATCAATTTTGTTTATCTTCTCAAAGAACCAGCTTTTAGTTTTATTGATATTTGCTATCATTTCCTTCATTTCTTTTTCATTTATTTCTGATCTGATCTTTATGATTTCTTTCCTTCTGCTAACTTAGGGTTTTTTTTTTTGTTGTTCTTCTCTCTCTAATTGCTCTAGGTGTAAGGTTAGGTTGTTTATTTGAGATGTTTCTTGTTTCTTGAGGTAGGATTGTATTGCTATAAACTTCCCTCTTAGAACTGCTTTTGCTGCATCCCATAGGTTTTGGTCCATCATATTTTCATTGTCATTTGTTTCTAGGTATTTTTTTATTTCCTCTTTCATTTCTTCAGTGATCTCTTGGTTATTTAGCAGCATATTTTTTAGCCTCTATGTGTTTATATTTTTTACAGTTTTTTTCCTGTAATTGATACCTAGTCTCATAGCATTGTGGTCAGAAAAGATACTTGATACGATTTCAATTTTCTTAAATTTACGAAGGCTTCATTTGTGACTCAAGATATGATCTCTCCTGGAGAATGTTCCATGAGCACTTGAGAAGAAAGTGTATTCTGTTGATTTTGGGTGGAATGTCATATAAGTATCAATTAAGTCCCTCTTGTTTAGTGTATCATTGAAAGCTTGTGTTTCCTTATTTATTTTCATTTTGGTTGATCTGTCCATTGGTGAAAGTGGGGTGTTAAAGTCCCCTACTATTATTGTGTTATTGTTGATTTCCCCTTTTATGGCTGTTAGCATTAGCCTTATGTATTGAGGTGCTCCTGTGTTGGGTGCATAAATATTTACAATTGTTATATCTTCTTGGATTGATCCCTTGATCATTATGTAGTGTCCTTGTTTGTCTCTTGTAATAGTCTTTATTTTAGACTATTTTGTCTGATAATGAGAATTGCTACTCCAGCTTTCTTTTGATTTCCATTTGCATGGAATATGTTTTTCCATCCCCTCATTTTCAGTTTGTATGTGTCCCTAAGTCTGAAGTGGGTCTCTTGTAGACAGCATATATACGGGTCTTGTTTTTGTATCCATTCAGCCAGTCTGTGTCTTTTGTTTGGAGCATTGAATCCATTTACATTTAAGGTAATTATCAGTATGTATGTTCCTATTGCCATTTTCTTAATTGTTTTGGGTTTGTTATTGTAGGTCTTTTCCTTCTCTTGTGTTTCCTGCCTAGAGAAGTTCCTTTAGTGTTTGCTGTAAAGCTGGTTTCTTGGTGCTCAGTTCTCTTAACTTTTGCTTGAATATAAAGCTTTTGATTTCTCCATCGAATCTGAATGAGATCCTTGCTGGGTAGAGTAACGTTGGTTGTAGGTTTTTCCCTTTCATCACTTTAAATATGTCCTGCCACTCCCTTCTGGCTTGCAGAGTTTCTGCTGAAAGATCAGCTGTTAACCTTATGGGGATTCCCTTGTATGTTGTTTGTTGCTTTTCCCTTGCTGCTTTTAATATTTTTTTTTGTATTTAATTTTTGATAGTTTGATTAATATGTGTCTTGGCATGTTTCTCCTTGGATTTATCCTGTATGGGACTCTCTTTGCTTCCTGGACTTGATTGACTATTTCCTTTCCCATGTTCAGGAAGTTTTCAACTATAATCTTTTCAAATATTTTCTCAGTCCCTTCCTTTTTCTGTTCTTCTACTGGGAACCCTATTATTTGAATGTTGGTGCGTTTAATATTGTTCCAGAGGTCTCTGAGTCTGTCCTCAATTCTCTTCATTCTTTATTCTGTTCTGCGGTAGTTATTTCCACTATTTTATCTTCCAGGTCACTTATTGGTTCTTCTGCCTCAGTTATTCTGCTATTGATTCCTTCTAGAGAATTTTTTTTTTTTTTTTTTTTTTTTTTGCGGTACGCGGGCCTCTCACTGCTGTGGCCTCTCCCGTTGCGGAGCACAGGCTCCGGACGCGCAGGCTCAGCGGCCATGGCTCACGGGCCCAGCCGCTCCGCGGCATGTGGGATCCTCCCGGACCGGGGCACGAACCCGTGTCCCCTGCATTGGCAGGCAGACTCTCAACCACTGAGCCACCAGGGAAGCCCTAGAGAATTTTTAATTTCATTTATTGTGTTCATCATTGTTTGTTTTCTCTTTAGTTCTTCTACATCTTTGTTAAATGTTTCTTTTATTTTCTCCATTGTATTTCCAAGATTTGGGATCATTTTTACTGTCATTACTCTGAATTCTTTTTCAGGTAGACTGCCTATTTCCTCTTCATGTGTTTGGTCTGGTGGGTTTTTATCTTGCTCCTGCATCTGCTATGTGTTTCTCTGTCTTCTCATTTTGCTTAGCTTACTGTGTTTGGGGTCTCCTTTTGCAGGCTGTAGGTTCGTAGTTCCTGTTGTTTTTGGTGTCTCACCCAGTGGGTGAGGTTGGTTCAGTGGGTTGTGTAGGCTTCCTGGTGGAGGGGACTGGTGCCTGTGTTCTGGTGGATGAGGGTGGATCTTGTCTTTCTGGTGGGCAGGTCCGCATCCGGTGGTGTGTTTTGGGGTGTCTGTGAACTTATGATTTTAGGAAGCCTCTCTGCTAATGGGTGGGGTTGTGTTCCTGTCTTGCTAGTTGTTTGGCATAGGGTGTCCAGCACTGGAGCTTGCTGGTCGTTGAGTGGAGCTGTGTCTTAGCGTTGAGACGGAGATCTCTGGGAGAGCTCTCATCGATTGATATTACGTGGAGCTGGGAGGTCTCTGGTGTTCCAGTGTCCTGAACTCGGCTCTCCCACCTCAGAGGCTCAGGCCTGACACCCAGCCAGAGCACCAAGACCCTGTTAGGCACTTGGCTCAACTTGGTACGAGGGATGCTTGCCAGTGAATTAAGGTGTGAAAAAGACATAAGGCATAAATACCAAAGGTGTTGCCTGCGGTGCCAGCTCTCTGGTTCCACAGACCTCTTTCCGTACTTTGTAATTCTCACTTCGGCTGGCCTCCATTCAGGCCACCATCATAGCTCCCCTGGTACCCTAACTGAGCTCTGATTTTCCTGTGTGTTCCCCATTCTGCACTTTAGCTCATTTTAAGTTGTAGGGAAGAGAGTCATATTCAGGTTACCTCAGGGAAAGCGGGTTATTCTCTAGGTGAGGAAGCCTCAGCAGTCAACTGTGGAAGTCATTACTCGACAGGAAGGCTTCCCACTGGGTGCTGTCCTAGTGCTTAGCTACTTTGGGAGCTGCAGCACAGAGGCGGTGGTCTTGGCTTCAAAATTGATTGCCAGATCTTCTCAGTTATGGCTTGATTGGTGACAACAAACCATGGGGACCCATTCTTAAGGTATTACTTCCGGCATTCTTCCCTCAGAAGGGGCAGTGTAAGTGGCTTTACTGTTAGGCTCCTTGGGTCCTTCTTATGCCATCAGGCCTGGGGTTTATCTTCTTAATGAATAACATTGGTCATGATATTCCCTGCTTAAAATCTTTCAGGTCCTCTCTCTTATAGGAAGATGTCAAAACTCCTTAGTATGGCTGTGGGTTTCCTTATTCTTCTCCCTTTCCCCCTTGACTTCTGTGTTCTGGCCACGTTGTACTTCTCCCTCTCTGAACTCATGCTGTGTTCTTTTTTTAAAATTAATTTATTTAATTTATTTATTTTTGGCTGCATTGGGTCTTCGTTGCTGTGTGCGGGCTTTCTCTAGTTGTGGAGAGCGGGGGCTACTCTTCGTTGCAGTGCACAGGCTTCATATTGCAGTGGCTTCTCTTGTTGCGGAGCTTGGGCTCTAGAGCGCAGGCTCAGTAGTTGTGGCACACAGGCTCAGTAGTTGTGGCTCACAGGCTCTAGAGCGCAAGCTCAGTAGTTGTGGTGCACGGGCTTAGTTGCTCTATGGCATTTGGGATCTTCCCGGACCAGGGCTCGAACCTGTGTCCCCTGCATTGGCAGGCGGATTCTTAACCACTGCGCCACTAGGGAAGTCCCATGCTGTGTTCTTTAAAGCATCTTTCCTTATAAGGGACTGCCCTTCCTTTCCTTCTTTGCTTACTTCCAGATTTAATTTACTCATCACCTCTGTTAACCTTTCCTGACTCTTCCTGGCAGTAGGTTGCTCATTCCGTTTTGTTCTCACTGTATCCTGTAGGGACCTATCATATTAGAACGTATTTGTGTATTTCAGCCCTGGATTTTGAGCTAATTTAAGACAGAGACCGTGTCTTCTGTCTCATCAACTCCCCCTCCCCTGAATTCATCAAATATTTATTCATGGTCTACTTTGTGCCAGCATTGGGTCCTTGTGGAATAATGTGGAAATGGTGCAGAGATCATTTCTTTGCTATTAGGTGTTTTCTTTGTCTTCTAGGTCGTGATATTATTGGGCTGGCGGAAACCGGCTCTGGGAAGACAGGGGCCTTTGCTCTGCCCATTCTGAATGTGCTGCTGGAGACGCCCCAGCGTTTGTTTGCCTTAGTTCTCACCCCCACCCGGGAGCTAGCCTTTCAGATCTCAGAGCAGTTTGAAGCCCTGGGGTCTTCTATTGGGGTGCAATGTGGTAAGTGTCCAGAGGAAAGGAATCTTCAGAATTTCTTCACAGGTTGAGAATGAGTGTGAAAGGAGAATGGAAGGAAGTGTCGTTAACATAAGTTCATTGACCTAAAGGGCTGATTTGGTATTTTAGCTTCGGGGAAAGTTGTAATTGTAAGGGAAGAAAAATGAAAGTAGAAATGTGTCATTGGCTTTACAGTGAACTATGGAAAAAAATTAAGGATCTCTTTTCAATATTCTTTTTCTTTCTGTAGCTGTGATTGTAGGTGGAATTGATTCAATGTCTCAATCTCTGGCCCTGGCCAAAAAGCCACATATAGTAATAGGTGAGTAATGACAACGGTAGAAGACACTGGTGATGATGAATTGGAGAAAATCTACTGATATTGGGTGCAACTTCTTTGTGCGGAAAGAGTTCAAAAAATGGATTTAATTTTTTGTTTAATTTTTTTTAATTTCTGAAATTCTGGTTGGGAGGGGGTGGTCACTTTCTTTCTGTCCTTTTTCTTAAACATTGCCCTCTCTCCTCAACTTTTCTTGTTAGCAACTCCTGGTCGACTAATTGACCACTTGGAAAATACAAAAGGTTTCAACTTAAGAGCTCTCAAGTACTTGGTCATGGATGAAGCAGACCGAATATTGAATATGGATTTTGAGACAGAGGTGAGCTCAACATCTTTCCTCTTCCTAGAGCATCTCAAAATCTGTTCAAAATCTGGTTCATTGCATACCTGCTTTTGTGGAGCACTTAACCATTGTTGGTTAATTTAACATCTCTGCTGCTTTTTTCATTCTTGATGCTCTTTACACTGTCTGCCTCAGCATCCTCTTTATTTACTTTTTCTTTCTTTTTTATTGAAGGATAGTTGATTTATATTATTATATTATTTTTAGGTACAACATAGTGATTCAGTATTTCTGTAGATTATACTCCATTTAAAATTATTACAAAATAATGGCTATATTTCCCTGTGCTGTACAATATATCCTTGTTGCTTTTAAATTAAATTTAATTTAATTAATTTTTTACTGAAGTATAGTTAATTTACAATGTTGTGTTTCTGGTGTACAGCAAAGTGATTCAGTTATACATACATATATAAATATGTGTGTGTATATATATATATATATATATATATATATATATACATATATATATGTGTGTATGTGTGTATATACATATACCTACACAAACTCCTAATTTATCCTTCCCTCTTTTCCCCTTTAGTAACCATAAGTTTGTTTTCTATGTCTGTGAATGTGTTTCTGTTTTGTAAATAAGTTCATTTGTATCATATTTTAGATTCCACATATAAGTGGTATTATGTGATATTTGTCTTTGTCTGACTTCACTTAGTATGATAATCTCTAGGTCCATCCATGTGGCTGCAAATGGCATCATTTCATTCTTTATTATGGCTGAGTAGTATTCCATTCTGTATATATACCACATCTTCTTTATCCATTCATCTGTTGATGGACATTTAGGTTGCTTCCATCTCTTGGGTATTGTAAATAGTCTCAGCATCCTCTTTCAAATATAGTCTGACTTGGGGGGTGAGGGATAAATTAGGAATATGGGATTAACATACACACACTACTATATATAAAATAGATAAACAGCAAGGACCTACTGTATAGCACAGGGAGCTACATTCAATATCTTGTAATAACCTATAATGGAAAAGGATCTGAAAAAGTGTAAATATGTACGTATGTGTAACTGAATCACTTTGCTGTACACCTGAAACACTGTAAATCAACTATACTTCAATTTAAAAAGACAATTGGGCAAAAAACATGTGTATATATATATATATATATACATACATGCATACATACATACAGACTGACTTTGATTTCAGAGATGAGAAATACCAAAACCAGATTTTCTTTTTCCATTTCATTTGATTTCAACCTCTTCCATCTTTTCTTTGATGACCCATTCATCATAGCTTATTTAGTTGATTAATGCTTATTCTTTACTTTTCTCTTAGATTAGCTCTACTCTGCTGATTTAAACTGTGCTTTTCTCTGACTGGCATTATTTTTTGGTAGCATCTGGTATGGTATCAAATAGTAAATATTCAGTCAGTTTTAGCTGAACTGAATCAAAGTTTTGAGTCCCCAAATCCCCACAGTGATGTATTTAGTTTGTTACCCCTCATCTCCTTCACAAGCAGCATTTGCAGGTGTCCAGTCTAAATGTTACGTTGGTACTGTTGCTCTTTCTGCCGTTTAGGTTGACAAGATCCTGAAAGTGATTCCCCGAGATCGGAAGACATTTCTCTTCTCTGCTACGATGACCAAGAAGGTGAACTTTTCTAGGACTTCTCTTTTCTTCTTTATAAGAATTGATAAGTGGAAACAGTCACAGTGACAATAATAAAAATAGAGTATTTAGGAATCAGTATACTACTCTAGGTTTTCTTTCTTCAGGTGCAAAAACTTCAGCGAGCAGCGCTGAAGAATCCTGTGAAATGTGCCGTTTCCTCTAAATACCAGACGGTTGAAAAGTTACAGCAATATTATCTTTTTATTCCTTCTAAGTTCAAGGTAAAGTGTTTGCTTTGATCATTCCTGCCTCTCCCTCTCCTTCTTCACCAAGACATCTGAAAATGTGTCAACTCTTGATTAGCTAAGAGCTGTGCTACAGATTGGAGTCCTTTCTGTTTGTTTTAGAGCTCATGCCGTGCTTTATTTTATCACTGATAAAGTCAAACATTCCGGGAATTCACAACATATTAAACCACAGTAATGAAGTCATGACACAGTCCCTTCCTAACCCCATCCTTGAGGTAGTTTTTCTTTTGCCTGCTTATTATGTGGCTTTTTTATAGACAAAGGACCTAGTTTTGTGCTTTGATGTCAGGGCTTTGCGTGCTTGCTGAGTACAGATCTCCTTGTGCTCGGCTTCAGGCTGTGTGCGAAACTCATGGTTCACAGAGATGATAATGATAATGCCAGTTAAGGAGTGCAAAGCTGGCGGCTGGGGGTCTGGATAACTGAGAAGCAGCTATGGGCTTAGTCTTTTACATAATTTGTATGCCCAGGACGCCAACCTTCTTCCAGGTTCAGTTACATATATTATTTTGGCTTTGTGACTTAGGATACCTACCTGGTTTATATTCTAAATGAATTGGCTGGAAACTCCTTTATGATATTCTGCACCACCTGTAACAATACTCAGAGGACAGCTTTGCTACTCCGAAATCTTGGATTCACTGCCATTCCCCTCCATGGACAGATGAGTCAGGTAACTATTCTTTGGAATCATTAGTGGTGAACTGGGGGCATGAGAAAGCTAAATCTTGTAGCAGGAGATTTCTGCAATAGCAACACATGACATTAATGCGTCTTCCCATAGTTGTCCTGATTTTATGGGCATTAAAGTGTTGCTTTGGATGCTACTTCCTCCTTTCAGGATAGCAAGAGGCTCAAATTAAAATATTCCACAGGTAGTTGTCTGGGATGGAAGCTACTGAGTTGATTTGTTCAGCCCTCATGGTAATAGTGACTCTCTCGTCTCTGAAGACTTTCAGTAGATTATTTCTCAGTTATCCTTCTGTCATGTTTAACAAACTCTGTTTCATGCTAGTATTTTCTAGCTTTAGTCTTAAATATCTTTTTATTGCTTCCATGTTTCCTTTTGACCTGTGAAGCCTAGTTCAGACTAAGGGGGAAACATCCTTTTAAAAATTTCTCTCTTGGTTCTTGTATTTATTTAGTATGTCTAGTTTGTGTGTCTTGGATTCCAAGTTTTTCAAGATTAAAATTCTTTCCATTTCTTCTTTTCATCGTCTCAGAGCAAGCGCCTAGGATCCCTTAATAAATTTAAGGCAAAAGCTCGTTCCATTCTTTTAGCAACTGATGTTGCAAGCCGTGGTTTGGACATACCTCATGTGGATGTAGTTGTTAACTTTGACATTCCTACCCATTCCAAGGTGAGTCCTGTTGCTGACCTGACTTTCTAGCCCCAAAGTGCTTTTCTTTTCTCTTTTCTTTTCTCTTCCCCTTCTCTTCCCTTTCTTTCCTTTCCTGTCCTTTCTTTCACTTCCTCCTTTCCTCCCTCCCTCCCTCCCTTCCTCTTTCTCTCTCTCTCCCCCACCTCCTTCTTCCTCCTTTTCTTTTCTTTTTTTTAAAATTGAGATGTAATTGACATATAACATTATATTAGTTTCAGGTGTAAAATGTAATGATTTAATATTCGTATATATTGCAGATTGGTCATAGTAAGTCTAGTTAACATCTGTCACCATTCATAATTATGCATGTCTTTTCTTATGATGAGAATTTTCCCTTAGCATTTTCCCTTAGCAACTTTTAAATATGCAGTACAGTATTATTAACTCTAGTCAGCATGTTGTACATTACATCCCCATGACTTATTTATTTTATAACTGAGATTTGTACCTTTTGCCCCCTTCACCCATTTCACACACACCCATCCCTGCCTCTGGCAACCACCAAATCTGTTCTCTGTATTTTTGTTTTTGTTTTAGATTCCACATATAAGTGAGATCTCAGTATTTGTCTCTGTCTAACTTATTTCACTTAGCTGAATACCCTCAAGGTCTATCCATGTTGTCACAAATAGAAAGATGTCATTCTTTTTTTATGGCCGAATACTATTCCATCGTATCCAAAGTGTATTTCTTAATGGAATGTTTTCTGTCTTTCCTTAGTTACAGTATTGGAGTTTTTTTGGGGTGTGTGTGTCCTTGATTAGTTAAGTGTCAAAAATAGGGAAAGCTCTAGATCTTTTCATGCTCCTCATCTTGCACATGCCTGTGGATGTGATATTAATGAATGTGAATGAAGGAGCCCAGGAGAGGGCTTAGAGGCTCACCGTCGGAGGCGCAGACGCACCGCGTGCTCACCTCTGTTGGTCTATCTGATGAGAAATGGCAGCCTGTGGTCCTCAGTGTATCCCAGGGTTTCTCAGCCTCGGCACTGTTAACATCTTGGTCTGGGAATTCTTCCTTGCGGGGCTGTCCTTTGTATTGTAGGATGCTTAGCAGAATTCCTGGCTTCTACTCACAGGTGACATTGTGACAACCAGATATATTTCCAGACATTTCCAAATGCCCGCTGGGGAGGATGAAACTGACCCCAGTTGTGAACAACTAGTGTGTCTCAACTTCGTATTAAACTGCTGTAGACAGGGTCCTGTCTCATGATTTTCACAGTAACTCTGTGTGAGTTTGGCCATGTATTTGTGTCCCTGTTTTATAGATACAAACCAGGGTTCAGAGAAGTTCTGGACCTGTAGACAGTTGTGTCGCTGGTCGGTGGGAAAAGCAGATCTGTGACCCAGGTCTGCCTCTAGATCTAGTGCCATTTTCCTCTGCCTGTGCTATGTCCATGGAGATTTGCTTTGGAAAAGAAAGGAAAAAGGGGGTCAGTTTTGTGCTGTGAGGAGAATAAGAAAAGTGAAGTAGATTTATCTCTGTAACAGATTGCCAGTTCATCTCTCCACGTTCCAACACAAATCTGTTTTCTTTCAAAGGTTTGCAGGAAGAATTTACATACAGTTTTAAATTTATCTTCCAGCTAACTCAAAGTTACTTACCGTTTTCGTTTCAGGATTACATCCATCGCGTAGGTCGAACAGCTCGAGCAGGGCGCTCTGGAAAGTCTATTACTTTTGTCACACAGTAAGTGACCCGACTTCGGGGCAGAGCAATGTAGAGAAAAGAGCAGAACTGTGGGGCAGACAGACTTGCAACCTGACTTCACCACTTACTGTAACAGTCACTTAACCTCCCTCATCCCGCCTTCATTGTTTGTAAAATAGAAATAATAATACCGATCTAGCAGGGTTTTAATGAAGACTGGAGATGTATATGTAAAGAGCATATACTATACTGCATATGTGTAGTATAGTACTTGGCATATAGAAGCACACACACAAAAAACCCTGTTATTTCTTTTAAATGCTGGAGCCAGAGAACAGTGACCATTCCCTCAACTCACAGTATTACAATAACTATTTCTGATTTTGTTTTCTAGGGAACAAATTGTTATGTACCCAGGGCTTTTCTGGGAGTAAGGGGTATGTTGGGTGGTTTTCTGCTGGGCTGTGCACAGAAGATTGCAATTAGTTAGTATTCTGAAAAGGAATAATAGGTTCGATATTGTTGAAAACTGTGGCCCCTGTTGCGTCATAGTTTTGGAATGGACAGACATGTGCATTGTCAGCCAGCCAGAGCCATGGCAGTTTTCCTTTTTCAGATACGACGTGGAACTCTTCCAGCGCATAGAACACTTAATTGGGAAGAAATTGCCTGTCTTTCCAACCCAGGATGACGAGGTTATGATGCTGACAGAACGTGTGTCTGAGGCCCAAAGATTTGCCCGAATGGTATGCAATGCATTTTCTCACCAGCAAATGAAATTAACTTACATGCAAGACACTTTATTGTGTTAACCCTCAACTTGGAATATTTGATTCCAAATTTAAGATGAGCATACTAAAGTGCAGATGTAGGTAATTTGCTTTCGACTGTACAACTAAATGGTTGAATCAGGGTTTGGACTCAGTCTGACCACAGTGACCACGTTCCCAGCCACTGTTCATGTTTCACATGAGGCAAAAAAAAAACCTTTGGACTTGAGATCAGATCAGGAGGTGCAGCTGTGAACTGTGAGCTTGGACAAGGTGTCTAACTTCTCAGAGTCAGTTCTTCATTTGTAGATTGGGAATAATAGTTACCTTGAATACAGGGTTTTATGAGCGTTGATCAAGCTGATGTAAACAGCGTAGTTACTGATAGCGGTGGCGGTAGGAGTGGCGATGAGAAGGTTCTAAAGGAGTCCCTTCCAAGTGCCGTCTGCTCTCTGGGGTGCTGGTCTGAGGGGTGAAGAAACTTCGCCCGTGGGGTGCTTTCTGAGTAGCTGAGGTGTGGACTTGTTTTTGTTTTTCTCCCCACATGGAATTCTTTGTTTGGTATCTTTGTTTATAAAAATATTGCATGTGCGTTGGGAAACATTTTTAGAAAATACACAAAGGATTAAAATAGTAAGTGAAACACGTAAGCCGCCCCCCGCAGAAAACCTGATAACAGTTGGCTATTTTTCTTTCCTTAGCCATAATTAGACTTTATCTAATTGTATATGACTTTATCTAAATGTATATCATTTTCCTATTTGAACTAGCAGAGATTCATGCGATCACTTCTTTTTTTTTTTTTCACATTTTAAACTTTATTCAAAAAATGTCATCTAGGCTGTGTCTTAGCCCTGAATCGATTCAGTTACCAAACTTTCCTAAACACCAGTGGCAGGAGTAATCTCTTGGAGTTGTTGCAAGGTCCTTAACTGCCTTCTGACTCATCAAGGGAAACCAAATTGGGTCTTCTAGACTTTGCATTAGGTATATTTTATTACTTTCCAATGTTTTGAAAATTGGTAATCTGAGGGGAGAGAATTAAGTTTTTTAAAAATAGCACTGCTTGCAAGTTTAGAAACTGATATCTTAGATGCTAGCATCTTAGAATTCTCATGGGATCATTTCTTAATGGCTACAGAGAATTCTGTCATGAATATATAACGTGATTTACATTGATGTGTGTTTATGCTTTTCCCGGTTTTTTGTATTTTAACTGGAACTCTGTTGAACATCCTGATATGTACAGCTTTGCACACTTGTCTTGTTTCCTTAGAATAAATTCCTAGAAGTAGAATCAATTGTTGGGTGGAGGAGAATACACAGTTAAAATTCGAATTCATACATAATGTCAAACTGCCCCCCTAGAAAAGCTAAAGCACTTTTACACGATGAGCGACAGTGTATGTGACTGTCCGCACACCTGACCAGGTCTAGGTATTACCATTCTCTTAAATCTTTGCCAGAATAATAATAATAGCTTATTGTTTTAATCTTCCTGTCTTTGATTACTAATAAGATTAACATTTTTGTATCTTGGGATTTTGGTCTTATTCCTTTGCTAATGTGAGGTGTTAGGGAGTTACTTAGTGTTTGATTTTAAGGAGCAGAGACTAGGATGTGTCACTCTCAGTGACAGCCATTCATTTTCAATCCCATCCTTTCCGTTTCTTGCAGGAGTTAAGGGAGCATGGAGAGAAGAAGAAGCGCTCGTGGGAGGCTGCTGGGGATGGTGACGATAGGGAGGGTGCAATCGGTGTCAGGAACAAGGTGGCTGGAGGAAAAATGAAGAAACGGAAAGGCCATTAATCTCTTTTATAAAGACTTGACTTCTGCTTTCTGTTCTGTAAAGAGGATTGAAGGAGAGAATGGGACCTCTCCCTCCAGAGTGCTGCAGGCCGAAATCCATCAGAATTGTGTCAGAATCTGCCCAGCTCACTCAGTGCTCATCCCCCTTTCCGTGTGTTAGAACATCGTTGCCTGCAGAATATTTTTGAAGTGCTGATGTCAAGACTCGGACTGTTCTTCAGCTTTGGTTCCTTGCTCCTGACACTAGTAAGATATGTTCTCCTATCCCTTCACACAGACCTGTGCTTTTTTCAGCTGCAAGTCAAGGACTGGGCTAATGAAGCCCTTGACCTGTGATTGTAAAGGAAAGGAACTTCTAGATCTAAAAACAGTGATACTTCCGCAGTCTCAGCTTGTGTTTCGTGAGACCAAATGGGAAATAATAAATTTAAATATTATTAAAAAAAAATTCAAACTCCTTGAGGACCTTTTTGGGTTACAGACTTTATAGATTTAGTAAGATCTTCCTAATAGGTAAGAAACTGACAGTGGTGATTCCATGGCAGATTCATTGGTTGTTCTTAATTTGAGGTAAACATTATTTATGACTTTAAAAAAATCAACAAAGAAACAAGAGGATGGATGGCTTTGAAAGGGAAGTCCTGCTTGAAAGGAGGTTGTGTTTTTCTTGGGGATGGAGCAGAGTCTCTTAGATCCCTGAATAGATTCACATCCCTGGCTCCTTGGATTAAAATCCTCTGTGGGGGGCTTCCCTGGTGGCACAGTGGTTAAGAATCCGCCTGCCAATGCAGGGGTTATGGGTTCAAGCCCTGGTCCAGGAAGATCCCACGTGCCGCGGAGCAACTAAGCCCGTGCACCACAACTACTGAGCCTGTGCTCTAGAGCCCGTGAGCCACAACTACTGAGCCCACGTGCCACAACCACTGAAGCCCACGTGCCTAGAGCCCATGCTCTGCAACAAGAAAAGCCACTGCAATGAGAAGCCCACGCACTGCAACAAAGAGTAGCCCCCGCTTGCCGCAACTAGAGAAAGCCTGCGCGCAGCAACGAAGACCCAACACAGCCAAAAATAAATAAATTAAAAAAATATATTCTCTGTGGGAGTCAAGTGTGGATGTTGATTGCAGGAAGATCTTTATAAAAATAGGGGGTGGGGTGCCTACCTCTGGGGGGCTAATTCTCCATTTGTTTCCTGATGGGACTCTCCAGAGTGGGTTAGCTAACAGCAGCTCTCTCTCCCTCTGGGCTGGTGGGTAAAAGCCAGTGGATGGGTGCTGTTTCAGCTCAGTGGAAGACTTCAGAAGCAAGCTGAATTTGAATCGGGTTATGGGTGGTGGATAAGAAGGGATTGGAATTATCCTGAAGGAGTCTGAACTTTCTAAATGGGCAGGATCTCTAACTTAGGGTCTGTGGACCCCTGAGGTATATGCATATTTCTGGGGAGACTAAAAAGGTTAAAAACCTCTTCTAAAGCTTATCTGTTGTTTCTGAAGTATATACGTATTATGCTTTGCTAGGATGGGAAGATAGGACTCTAAGGGGAGAAAGGTGGATGATGTGTCTTCAGGCATATTAGTAGGCCCAGACCATAAACTAGAGTCCCAAGCAGAACAGGTAAAATGCCATTGTGAAGGGCAGGAGGCACAGAAATAAACGAATGCGATCTAGTAGTAAAGGAGGGCAAAGCTGCTGGTTTGTATCACTAATCTGAACTGTTCTCATGCTCCCTGTCTGCAAAGGCAAGATTGCAGAAGTCTTGAGGCTGAAACCCTAATCGAGGTGTCTATGAGTTTCCTGGGGCTGCTGAAACAAAGTACCAGAAACCGGGGGACTTAAAACAGCAATTTGTTGGATCACAGTTCTGGAGTCTAGATGTCCAAGACCAAGTTATCAGCAGGGTTCCATCTGAAACGTCTCGGGAAGGGTCTGTCCTTGCTGCCTCCTAGCATCTGGTGGTGGCCAGGGGTCCTTGGCTTGTGGCAACGTAGCTCCAGTCTCTGCCTCCATGTCTTCACGTAACCTTCTTCCCTGTGTGTCTGCCTTCACACGGCCTTCTTATAAGGATGCTTTCATTGGATTTAGGGCACATCCTAATCCAGTATGACCTCGTCTTGACTCATTATCTCCACAAAGACCCTATTTCCAAATAAGGTCACATTCTGGGATTCCACGTGGACATGAATTTTGGGGGGGACACCATTTAGGCCAGTACAAACCGTCTTTCTGGACTGTTGTGTTTTGGGGGGTTTAAGATTGTGTTGTGGAATACAAGTGGTAGATAGAGTTAATTACAAAGAAAGTGGAGAAAAGACAGGAGACAGGTCTTCAGAAACAGGATGGGTAGAAGTAGAGAAATTTACAATGACATCCTCTGAAATGAAATGTAAATTGTTTTGTAGTCAAGGTCCCAAAGGGTCTCGTTTTAGAAATGGAGAAGGTTTCCGGCCTTTCTTCTTGTCCCATTTTAGTGTAATTCCTTAGTTCTGCTTGCCTGATTTAAGAAACTGAGGGCTTCAAAACAACCAACCAACCTCTCCCCCTCCCTCAATTGCAAACGATTTCCACACCTAACTTTTATGACTTAAAGGGAGTATCTTGCAATAGTCATTAATAATGCTGGCCCAGAGAAAATTCTCCCTTATTTCTCATCCGAATCATAAAACCACTTTATGCAGTATTCATTGTATCATGGCTTCATACTAGCTAACATGGTTTTACTTCCTCTGTACAGAGCTAAAGTGAGATGAGGAAAATGTCTCTACCTTGTGAAGGGGTCTTAGGATCCCAGTGATGGGGTTTCAGCTGAGCAGGCTATTCTAGGCTTAAAAGCAGGCCCAGAATTCCAGGCTCTTGAATTTAAGGGCACTCGGGATTCTAGTAGTTGCCCAGAGGGATCTAGACTCAACTAGATCTTGATGATTCTTTTCTTAGTCCCTCAAAAATGTGATGAATATCCTAGAACTTGGCTGACTCTATAAAGACATCTGGCTTACAGCCAGAGTGTTTTCCAGGTAGCTTCCTACCTGCAGATACATCCAAAAATCCAAATCAAAGACTCTGTGTACCCCAGGTCCCTCAAAGCCCTGGGAAATGAGACCAGAAAGAACCACAGGCTGTGGTATTGGTTACAGAAAATGAAGGCGTCCAAGTTATCAAAAGCAGGTAACAAAATAACATCAAGCAAGTATGCTCCAAAGACTTGAATGCAGAATTAGAGAGTATACGAGAAGTTTTAATCCACATAGTTCTCAAGGTGAAATCTAGCCTCAGGGCTGATAATAAATCAGGGTGTGAGTCACCCCTCTTCAGTAGGAATGACGAGAGACCCAGACCCTGGCACTAGAGACTCAAGGGCTACCCACACCCACATTCTTTTTCATGCCTCACCTGTCCCAGGTATGCACTAAAAATAACTGCAGAAACTTGAACTCTGGGAAATCACGCTGAACAGTCTCACCTAGAAGAAAGAGTTGATTTGTGCCCAGTGGAAGAGAGATGGGGAAAAATGGGCTCATGTAGAGACTGTGTAATCTCTAGTTGCTGGGCCCTGATGTCTTCATATTCTTGAAGTTTTTATCTGTTTGTAGTCCACCCAATACCTTCCAAAACTATAATTCTTCATTAACCTGTGGATGCCATCTAGGGACTGGAAGAAACTGGAGGGATGCGGAACACAGCGAAGTGTGGGGAAAGCGTTGAGACTTGTTCACGCTGTAGCTCTGTGACCTCGTGAGAGTTACTGAACCTCGATTTCTCTCACTTGTTAATACGGAAATAAGAGCATCTCGCCAATCTGCCTCAGAGTCTTGAAGCTGGTTTTATTGATTTTTAAATTCTGTTCCCTCCCTCTCTCCCTTGCAGTGTCTGCTCTGTCCCAGCCACTGTGCCAGGTACCAGGAAGACCACACTGAAGAGAAAGGTCAGACGCTGTCTTGGATGAACTCAGTCTTAGCCTGGTATTGTGGTCGTGCTTGCCCAGGGAGCAGGGCCTCTTCGTGGGTGTGACTCTAACATCTTGCAGGGCCCAGCACACAGTGAAGGTTCAATATCTGTCCTTTTCTGCAACTGTGTATTGGCATCTTCACACGTGTCTTTAGTTCCCTTCAGTCCTGAAAGGTGGATGTTACTGTTCCCATTATAAGCTAAGGAGCCGGACTATCCAGTCTGCTTCTTACCAGCTGTGAGACCTTGGGCAAAGTATTCAACCTTTTCTTGTTTCAATCTCCTTATCTGAAGAAACACAGATAGTAATAAACCTACCTTGTGAGGTTTAAATGAACTCTACTGCGGCTGTCCTCATAATGATCAGTAAGTGTTAGCCATTGTGATTGTCATTATTATTACTATTATTACAGATGAAGAGTGGCTAAGTAGCTTGCCCATACAGCTTGTCATACAGCGTGTAATGGACCAAATTTGATTTCAAGCCTCTACTCTTTATGCTAAATACACTATGTGTGTGGTAAGTGTGTGCGTATAATTTCATATTATTCATTCAGCAAGTGCTTATTGCATGAAGACTGAGCCATCATTTGTAATTTCTTCCTTTGGAAAAATGTATTCCACATAACAAACAAGTATGACACAAATGAGCTTTCGGACTCCAGCCTATTCAATATTTGCAGATTGGAACGGCCAGGTGGGAGAATATGACATTTTCATTTCCACCAGTAGATGGCAGAAAGGAGAAAAGATACCCCTAAATGGGCGGAGTTTTCACAGTGGCTGATTAAAAGAGCTCTTTGTCTAATGTTTGGCCCACAGTGACTGAGGGCCCGGGGGTCAGGGTGGGTATGAGAACTACCTTCAGGTATTTGAAGGTGTCAGCCTTCAAGAAGGTCTACTAGGTCGACCCAGAAGATGGGGACTGGGGATAGAAGTAAACTGAGGCTCAGATGTAGTAAGAAGAAGAAGTTGCATTCCACTATTATCTCTTCCTCACATTCCCAGCCTGCATTCCCTACTGTTCAGCCTGCAAGCAGCTTTGTTCTTTTGAAAAGTCTGCCCTTCCCTCCTGGGATTTTAAGTCCCTTGTCCTCCGTTTATGCCCCCTCCAGCTCCCACCCCAGTCTGTAACCTCAGAGTACTGTTATTCTCCCCCCAACATCACTGCCTACTCCCACTACATGTTCGTGTTTCTGAGTGTAAATTTGCCGAGCCATGAACCCCCCTTCTGTTGAACCTTCTCTTTTACTGCACATCCATCTAGTAAGCTTTGTCCATAGCCCTCACTCCTCTGTCAGATAAGCCTGGTGCTGGTGAACTGGAGAGCCACTTGTTCCTTCATTCTGTCCTAAAGACATATCTTTCAGCTCCAAGTGATGGGCCATTGTCCCTCTGGTTCCAGAAGAGTGGTAGCAGCCTTCAGGTGTGGTGGTCAGAAATAACGGCGCTAACTCCACCGTCACTGATTTCTGTGCTGGCTCGCTCTTCACGCATTCCTTTTGGGGGAGGAGT